AGGTACTAACGGAATAAGATCCTACCGAAGCTATAGACTGACTGATAAACATAATAACTAATTGTATAAGAAGGGCAAAAATTAAAGTTAGACATAAAACACGAAGAGATGTGACCCCAAGAAAAAAAATGGATAACTAGTGGAATTTTGATTTCACATAAAACTAAGGACCACTTATACAAGATGTGGAGAAAAAAGCCTGAAAGTTTGATTCTAAGGGACCAATATAAAAGTTATTGTAAATTATTAGATAAAGTAATACTAGATGTCAAGTATAAATATGAAAAAGAAATGGTTAATAGAAGTTGCAACAGTCCAAAACTTTTGTAAGATTTTATAAATAATAAATTTGGCAAAAATAGGAAGCAATCTGATAGGATAAATGACATTACCAATGAAAATAAAAAAATAGTAAATCCAATACAAATTGCTAATATAATGAATACATTCTTTTTAAAAATAGGATCGTACTTAAGCAGTTAAATGAAACCACCTAATAATGTAAATTTAAAGCTACCTGAAATAAACCAAAAAACTATACTTTTTGAACCAACCGAAGTTTATGAAATAAGTACAATTATAAAAAACATGAAAAACAAAGCTGGTGGGGTTGACAATATTAATACCGAAATCATAAAAACCTTATCTATTTTCTTAATTAACTCTTTAAAGCATATATTTAATTTATGTGCTAAGAAATCGATTTGGCCTAATGCACTTAAAATTGCAGATGTTATCCCCATATACAAGACAGGAGATAAATCAAGTGCATCTAACTATAGACCGATATTCGCTCATATCGAACATAGCAAAAATTTTTGAAAAAATAGTTTATGACAGGGTATATAAATTTTTAATTAAATTTAAAATCATTTCAGATCGACAGTATGGTTTTATAAAAAATCGAGGTACAACGGATGCTCTTTACACTATTGTTAATATAATTTATAACAAGCTAGACCACAAAGCAAACCTATAATAGCAACTTTTCTTGATTTGAACAAAGCTTTTGACACTGTCAATCATGAAATATTACTTCAAAAACTTAAAATGGATGGAATTAGAGGAAAAGTCTTAAATTTATTTACTAGCTATCTTACGTATAGACAACAAAGGGTAAAAATACTAAATGTTACTAGTGCGTATAAAACAATTTTAACTGATGTGCTACAAGGAACAATATTGGATCCTTTGTTGTTTATTCTACACGTCAATGTCCTCCTGATTAATATGCCAAAAGAAGCGATAATATCTTACGCTGATGATACAGTCATCATTTCTGATGATGTCACGTGGTCTGCTGCTAAAGACAAGATGAACGTTTGGCTAAAAAAAAGTAGATGTTTGGCTAGCTCTGAATAAATTGTCTTTAAACATTCAAAAGACTTTCTTTATAACTTTTGGATGTTATCGTGATAGCTTACCTCTGACGATTGATATTAAAATACAAAACCAAGTTATAAACAGAGTCGAAAGTTGCAAGTACCTAGGTATATTTTTTCATTTTAATTTGAGATAGGACAAACAAATAGAGTGCCACATTAGCAAAACAAAATATCTAATTTTTATGTTTGCTAAACTTAAAAAATTTATGGAAACAAAAAACCTAATGACAATTTATTATGCGTTTTTTCATTCTTTAATTAATTATGGTATAATTGCCAGGGGTGGTGCTAACAAAAACCCACTGCATTTGCTTCAACGAGTCCAGACAAGGCTGTTAAAGATAATTTACAAAAATAGATTTTATGGAGGTACAATTTCTTTAAACGTAACTCAAATTTTCAAATTGATTTCATTAGTATATCACTATGATAAGTTAAGAGTCGCTTATTCTAAAGTTATACATAATAGAAGGCAAAAAAATATTCAAGTGCCAAAGTTAAAAAAAAAAACAATAAGTAGTAAAAATAGTTACGTTGCAGCTATTAAAGCATTTAATAAGTTACCTAATGATCTCAAAGAAATGATGAATAATCCTTATGCAATCAAGCGTAAATTAAAAAATGTAATGTGATATTGTTTAACTTTGATTTATTTATTGTTAACCTTTATATCGCTGTTGAAAATTATTCTAAAGTTTATTAATGTTATTTCAATGTACTTATATTTTCTTAGTTCTTAAGTATTAGTAATTTAAGTTTTGTACCAGCCTATGTACAGGTAACTATGTTTACCTCTTGTAGGATTTACTATGTAGTAACATTTGTTATTATTATGTAAATTTTTCTTTTCTGGTATAAATAAATAAATAAATAAATAAATAAATAAACAAATAAATTGTTTGGGATTTAATCTGCCCAATCAGAACGCGCAACAGTTCTCGCTCAATGCAGACTCGCCATAACTCATCTCGGCGGTTAAGAAGCGCCGTGACGCCGGCTTCTCAGGCAGCCATATTTAATTGTTCTCAACAACTCGTTCCCACCACACGCGTCTTCACAACTTTGTTATACGTCTTCTCACAATGTACAAGTTCGGTGGGATTAATATAATCTTCATCGTCCGGATCACAACTGATTAATATAATCAGGTCGTCTCGAGTCCACTCATTGTGATATTCTCTGTGAAAAGTTCGGAACGTGGTCCGCTCAACGGCTACTCATTTGAATCTCAACCGACACGCGGTGTACTCGTACGCGTTTTAATAAATCTGACAACTCACAGCAAATGCTCGGCGTTCTTCTCATTTAGACCACTCAATTCCTTAACATTTGGTCCTTCGAGCCGGATCGAGCAATTGCAGTGCAAATTTCTAAAAATTGGTAAAGTTCATTGTGTGCGGTTTATTTCGTCATCTCAATAACTTTGTTCGGAAAAGTAGTGCCAACTCAAGTAGTGCTCTTACGCGTGACGTAGTGCCGTGTCACGCCTTCTCTTGTTGCTCGAAAAGTAGTGCTATCTCAGTCGCTTTGCTCCGCGCGAAATAGTGCCATCTCAAGTCGTGTGGCTACGTGTGACGTAGTGCCGTCTCACGCCCGCTCTTGCGTCGCGAGAAGTAGTACCATATATCGCACGCGTTAGTGTGACGTGTGAGCCGCCACCCCCCCCTTACTCTCAAGTAGGGTGGGATATAGCCATCTCTCTTGCGAGTACGTGTCGTCTCACTCGCTTCGCGCGACCCGCGAACACTTCCCCCACTCTCATTCCCGAGTAGCGAGGAATCGTCATCTCGTTCGCGGTGTTTACTAAATAGTGCCGTTATCTATCGCGACATTGTCTTCTCATTGGCACTACTTATTATCAGTGACTCTCAGTGTGATCTCATTAAGCAGTGACTTTCACTATACACTTCTCATTTAATCATCACAATGGTGCTTGTGCAGGATGAAGAACAAAAGGCCAAGACCACAAGCAGTGGTGATGACCAAGCAATCCCTCAGACAGCTCAACCGACCAGCCTAGCGGTACCATCGACGTCCACTCATGGCCAAGGTCCCCAGACCAGGAGCCAATCGCCAGTGGCCCTCAGTACAGAATTCACGTTGCGTGTGCAGGCTCAAAGGGAAATCATTGTGTCGATAGAGGATATACTCAGTCAGGTTAGTGACCCATCCGAAGCGATCACCTTGACAGAGGTGAACATGATGCTCGAACAGCTGGAGAAGCTGCATAAGACATTTCGCCAAGAGCACGCTCAGCTTTTCTGCAATTGGCCTCCCAGCTAAATGGGGCATCCATATCTCACTGAGACGGTCAACATCAACGAAACGAAGTTGATGATAAAGACAAAAAGATTGCTTGGTCGGCTCAAGGAACAGCTCACTCAGAAAATTTAGCCAACTCTTTCACCCGAAGCTGGTGCTCGTGCCCGCTCCCGGCTTCCTGAATTAACAGTGCTGACATTCAGTGGAGATTGCCGAAAATGGCCTGAATTTAAGGCCATGTTCAGCTCAGTAATAGGTGACCGCTCAGACCTCAGTGATCTGGAGAARTTCYARTATCTTAAGTCAGCGATGCAAGGTGAGGCCTACGAGCTCATTGCCAACATCACTCCAGACAACTCATCATTTGACTCGGCTTGGACATTGCTCACATCAAGGTTTGAGAAAAAACGTCTAATAATCAAATCTCACCTCGAAAGGCTTCTCAATCTCAAACCGATGCAAAGGCGCCAAGCCACATCGCTGACTAAGATGGTCAACATTATAAACGAGACTACTCAGGCACTCAGAACGCTCACGGTGGAGAGCAACAATGATTGCCTCATGGTAACCCTTCTCACAGGCCTACTCGATCGTGACACTCGTGAGAGATGGGAGACATCTCTTGCCTCCACCGATCAATTTCCAACTCTCAGCCAGCTCACGGAATTTCTGGTGACTCGTGCTTGCACATTGGAAACAATGGAAGCCTCGTCCACGCCTGCTCAACCCAATGTGCCAAAAGGGGCTACGACTGCTCGTACAAGCTCACATCAGGCATCTCAACAGCCCCCAGCCAGCTCATCAAGATCGGTTACTCATCAGACTTCTCGTCCAGCTCAGTCACGAACGACATATCCGTGTGACTGTTGTAGGCAAGATCACTACATCGCGATCTGCCCAAAGATGCGAGGCTACTTGGTCAACCAACAGGTAAGGTTGATCAGGGATAGAAGCCTTTGTTGCAATTGCCGAGGCAGGCACAATCTAAGGAGGTGCAACAGCCGACAACATTGCAAATCATGCAACGACTATCATCACACCCTGTTGCATGGTGCTGACCTCTCAGTCATCTTCGAACCACCAGGAGATGAGGCTCAGACTGCTCAGGAGGTGTCAGACACACCCGCTCCCTCAGACCAGTCCTCTCAAGCATGAAGCTCAGGGCAGCTCGTTGAGAGTTGCGATCATCTTGTGTCTAACTCAGCCCATCTCAGTCATCTCACATTGCTGGCCACAGCGACAGCGATAGTCGTCTCAGCAGCTTCATCAACTCAAGTTCGTCTGCTCATCGACCCTGGATCAGAAATCTCATTCGTTTCAGAGAGGCTCACCCAGCAGCTTAAGTTACAACGAATGCACTCCAGGCTGGACGTTTATGTTGTCGGTGGAACACGGACTTCTCAAACAAGAGGAATTGTCACGCTCAACCTTCAATCAAGGTATAGTCCACTCACAGTGACAATTTCAGCTCACGTGTTGAAGACAGTTACCACCATCCTGCCGGCCATGAAGACTCAACAGGAACCCGAATGGCCACACCTGAAGAGTTTAAAGCTCGCTGATCCAGAGTTTCTCGTTCCAAGGGCAGTAGAGGTTATAATCGGAGAAGACTTCTACGGCCAACTCATCAGACCTAATATCATTAGGCACTCAGAAAGAACTCCTATTGCTCAATTGTCAATCTTTGGGTGGCTGGTCATAGGCCCCATTCAAGCATCGGTCTCACTTGCAAGGACAACTCATCATGGCAGCTCCCAGGCATCAAACTTATCCTTGCAAGAGTTGTTGACACGGTTTTGGGTCCAGGAAGAACCTCCATCATCGGACAACTCATCTCTCACTCCTGAGGAACAGGAGTGTGAGCTCCACCTCAAGACCACTCACTCAAGGGACTCAACAGGGCGCTACATCGTCAGGATGTCGCTCAAATCGCCCCTAACAGTCCTGGGAGATTCTTATCAGACAGCTCATCGATCGCTCCAACGAATTCTCAGGCGACTTGGCAGAGACACTAAGTACGACCGATTGTACACTCAGTTCATGCGAGAGTATGAACAAGCTCAGCACATGCTCAAGCTCGATGGCAAGAACTCTCAAGGAACGCTCATTGGAGGTATGTGCCTGGCACATCAAACCCAGCTGACTGTGCATCGCGTGGGATAACTACAGATCAGCTGGAAAAGCAAACTCTATGGTGGACGGGACCACCATAACTCACTCAATCAATGGCATCATGGCCGGTTCAGGTCGAAGAAGCTCCTGATGACTCATGCGCGCAAGAAGCTCGTTCTCGTGTTGCACTTCACACNCTCACTCAATCAATGGCATCATGGCCGGTTCAGGTCGAAGAAGCTCCTGATGACTCATGCGCGCAAGAAGCTCGTTCTCGTGTTGCACTTCACACGGTACGATCTTCTCCGAGTTATCAGTGGGACCTTATTCATCGATACTCATCGCTCAACAGGTTGTTCTGAGTTACAGCTCTTTGTAATAGATTTTTCAAGAGGCTCTCAGGAGACCTTGACTCGACACCAGCAGCCTGTATCTTAGTCAAAAGCATGGAAGACTCACGACTCTTTTGGGTCACGGCGACTCAATCAGCGTACTACTCAGAAGAAATCTCAGTGCTCTCAAGACAATCTCAGCTGCCAAACTCGCACCCACTCTCTAGGCTCATCGCATTCATCGATGCCGGCGGTATGCTCAGGGTGGGCGGTCGCCTCTCAAGGTCCGAACTCATGTACGAGGCAAAACATCCAGCAATTCTCCCTCGTAGCTCCAGGCCCTCAGAACTAATCATCGCCCATGCTCACAAGAAAACGATGCATGGAGGCACACAGTCGACTCTGGCACTCATCAGACAACTCTACTAGATCACCGGAGAAAGAGCCCAAGTCAAGTCATATGTTCTCAGGTGTGTGGTGTGTGCTCGTTACAGGGAGATCCGTGCTCAGCAACTGATGGGCCAACTTCCTCTGGCGCGAGTCACTCCATCATGCCCATTTTCTCACACAGGCATTGACTACGCTGGACCGCTCACGCTAAAGACTTGGAAAGGACGTGGCTTCAAGACTCATAAGGGTTTGATCTGTGTATTTGTCTGTCTATCAACTTCAGCCGCTCATCTCGATGTCGTTACAGACTACTCAGCCGAGGGCTTCATTGCAACTTACAGACGCTTCACCTCAAGGCGGGGTGTCCCGTCAGACCTTTACGCTGATTGTGGCACCAACTTCTTGGGCGCTGAAGTTAAGCTCCTGCAATGTTTCTCAGAAAGCTCTTCAGGACATCAGGAGATCTCTTCTGTGCTAGCTCAAGACAAAACACAGTGGCATTTCAACCCGCCCGCAGCCCTTCACATGGGTGGGAAATGGAAAGCAGTAGTCAAGTGTCTGAAATTTCATCTTAGAAGATCAGTCGGAGACACACTGCTCACGTATGAGGAGACTTCCACCCTCCTTGCTTAAATTCTTAATTCCAGACCACTCGAACCGCTCAGCGATGATCCAGAAGACATCTCAGTGCTAACACCAGGGCACTTTCTCATCAGAACGGCACTCAATGCTGTTCCTGAAGGCTCACTCTTGGACATCTCAGCAAGTCGGCTCTCCAGATGGCAGTTCATCCAGCAACGAGTTCAACATTTCTGGCGCATGTGGTCCACTCAGTATTTACAACAATTACAAGCCATCTCAAAGTGGCATCACGCTCACAACCAGATTAAGGTAGGTTCTCTCGTTCTCCTTACTGATGAGCGTTTGCCTCCAGGAAAATAGCCCATGGCTAGGGTGCTCAAATTGCTGTCAGGGGAGGATGGACTCACCAGGGTGGTATCGCTGAAGACGGCTACCACAACACTCACCAGGCCGATCACCAAGCTCGCAGTCCTCCCAGTGGCCGCTCAGAAGGCAGCATAACTCATCATCAA